GGTGAACGGTGTGCGTGTGTGTGTGTGAGAAAAAGAATAAGTGTGCTTGCCACAACTGCACACACCACACTCGTCTTCTACCAGCAATCCTTGTCATCTCCACCGAGATTGTACCACCTTCCGACGCCACGCTCATGAGGGAGAACTCGACGAGCACCTGCCTTCACCCGTGAGCCATGCCGCACCGGGGAGGCCGCACGGCAGCCCCAGGAATCGCCCCGCGCTCAAGGGGAGCGAAGGTGGAGCACGAGCAGGCACCCAGCAATGGGCGGCTGTGCTTCGCTCGGCAGAGTAATGGGTGTGATGCTCATGAAGCGCATGGGTGCGAGCCCACCACTCTGAAAAAAGGGACTGCGCCACCTTCCCCCTGAAACCGCCACCCCACCCCTCGTCCTGAGCTCCAAAGCGCAGAAGGACACAGGGACTGCCAAGCCTGCGAAGAAGAGCATTTGCAGGTCTGCTCTGCAGGAGATTTCCAACTCATTCTGCAGAAGCAAGCAGCAATATTTAAAGATGCAAAGAGGAGGAGGAGGAAACGGACATGCGAAGGACTCCTGGCCACGTCCCTCTGGAAAAGTGTCCCCTCGTTTCTGCAGACTGGTTCGAGACCTCCAGCCTGCAGGCAGCGGCCTCACTCCGGATCTCGATCTGCATCTCCTTTGGGCCTGGAAGTCTGAGCTCTCCTGAAGGGTCTGATGGATAGTGAGCCAGAGCAAACCTCTGAGCGCCTATTTCTCCCCTCCCACCTCTTCCAATCTGCTCTCCCTCCTCACTGCAGGGGTCTGGAGACTCTGCTCAGCGTTTGGTTTCCTGGCTGAGCAAACCGGGGATGGCTTGGGGTGGGCAGAGAGAGGGGGGGGGATATTTTGCTCCACAATCGGAGAAGCTGAGGGAGACTGACTTCTAAAACAAGTAGCGGGTTTCTTCTCCTCCATTTCGTCTGCATCCATCCACTTGGGATGCTTCCACTGCCTTGTAGGAAAACCATAACAAACCACCACCAAGAAGAACGAATTTAAAACTAATGTTTATCTCATGGTGCCAGGATAGGATCTAGCAACCAAACCACGAGTATGCAGGACAGAGCGTGGATTCAGACCATTTCTTCCCTATCTAGACCCCAAACTCCAAAGGACATTCCAGGGAAAGATGATCGGCAACTCACGCATCAGAAGCATCATGACGTCGCAGAAGAATTCCATGCGCTCTCCTTGGTGACAGAAATGACCGCAAGGAAGCATTCATGGTCTGCACAGAGGGCACCTCCTAGGATATTTCGGGGGGGGGGGGGGGGGGGGGAGGCGCGCCAGTCTGCCGCTGCCAAACCAGCAAGGCCTCGTGGCACCTTAAGGACTAGTGTGTTTCTTCTGGCACATGCCGGTCTGCCTGGCTTCCTTCATCAGAGGCAGAATCCTTGCCAAGATGCCGCATTCCTGCCAAAGGCTTCGGGGTGTCTGAGCAGATGAGCTGGAGCACAAGCAGGACTCTCTCCTTTGCTTTCTCAGCCCTGCGAGCACCACCCGGGGGGGGGGGGGGCGGCACTGTAAGTCCCTCCATGAGTGAGAGTGGCGCTGTCAGGACAAATAAGTCACCCATTTTGCTGGGAAGAAGCAGCACCAGCGAGGAATTCCAGGCAGATCGCTTGACCGCTGCATCTCCTTAATTGGGCACAGTTTGCTGTCCTGCAGGCGGCAGCTGAGAGAATTTCTTGCCACTTCTCTTGAATGGGAACCTTGCCCATAAGAAAAAAAGAAATCCAACATCCCGGGAGATTTGACTTTTTTTTTTCTTTTTAAGCACTAGGGCTTCGAAACACAATGCACTGGGGGAAAGGATTGCTTTGAAGTCGGTCAGCAGAGCTTTTCAGCTAACCTGTCCAAAAGCGGAAGCGCCCGGAAAGGCAACATGCAGGTCACCTCCCTTGTGGTTCTGCATTTCTGCTGCCTGCAGGTGCCTCTTCACGTTTTGCAGCTGACCCAGTGGGGAGCTGTGGGGGGGCAGATTTGTGGGCGGGGGCCCCTCACTGCAAGAGGGATGCGGCACGGCTGGGATCAGTACAGGGGAGGGCCACAAGGTTGGTGGCCGGTTTGCAGGGGAAGCCGTATGAGGCGAGACTGAGGGAACTGGGTCTCTTCAGCCTGGAGAAGAGGAGACTCCGAGTGCATCTGTTGGCAACATATAGGAACGTGAAGGGACGTCACATGGAGGTGGGGAGAGACCTGTTCTCCCCTGCAGAGGAAGGCAGGATGCGCTCCAAGGGAGCAAAGCTCAGGGAGCCAAGGTTCAATTTGGATGCCAGGAAGCACTTCCTGACAGTTGGGACCCCGAGGGTGTGGAATGGGCTTCCACGGGAGGTGGTTGAGGCCCCATTGGTGCGGGTGTTCAAGGATAGGCTGGACGTCCACATGGCGGGCATGCCATGAGCAGACCTGGCTGGAGCCGGGGGTCAGACTAGATAGCCCGGGAGGCCCCTTCTGACTCACTGTTTCTCTGTTCCATGTCCCTGGCATGGGTGGTGGTGGCCACAGGTGATGGGGTGCACAGGTGGCCTCCTCAGAAGCTGCGGCTCGTCCGAGGGAAGAAAGGGGGAAGCGGCCAAGGGCAGACGCCTGGGAGGTCTGAGGAATCTCCAAAGACGCAGCAGCAAATGTCCACGTGCTGATTGAGATGCACATGATCCCAAGCAGAAATCACACAATAGCTGGGAGGGGCCTGCACGGCCATGAAGTCCAGCCCCCGATCAATGAGGACTCCAAGAGACAGTGTGGTGCAGTGGTTAAAGAGTGTGGGGATGGGTCTCAGGAGATCTGGGTTCTGGTCCCCACTCAGCCATGGAGCCAACTGGGCCAGCCTCAGACTCTCAGCCCAGTCTACCTCACAGGGTTGTTGTTCTGGGGAATGTTCTGAGAGCAGCAGGAAGAGAATGAGGTAAGCTGCTTTTAATTCCCTGAGAGGAATAAAAGCAGGATATGAATCAAATCGAAAAACAGGCATCCCTGACAGAGGGCCGTCCCACGTGGGAAGACCAATGTCCTTCCCAGGTCAAGCGTTCTGCTGCCGAACTACTCCAAGGGTCAGGAATTATTCCTCGGATGTAAGCAGAGCTGCAAGAGCAGGCAGCAGACACCATGGCCGGGAGACTCTGTGGTGGCTTGTGCCGTCCAGCAACCAGCCAGGAATGGGCGACGCCGCCCTCGCGATGGTCAAAGCACACTCCTCTCACCTGCCGGTGTTCATTTCTCACAGACTTTGGTTGTCGCATCTCCAGCAGAAAAGGAACAGAGTGACGGAGCTTGGAGAGACGGAGCGATCCGTTCGTTCCTATCTAAAACACGCACAGAGAAATACTCCGGGGGCGAGCCAAGCTTAGTCCTGTACAGAGGAGACTTGCGGGGCCAGAAGAGACTCCCCGTTCGCTTCAATGGCCCTTCTGTATTCAGGACTAACACGGAATTGTATCCCATCACATGGGATTGTGATGTGTTTTATTGTGGAGTGCTCTCTCTACAAGGAAGCCGAGAAACATTTTACATTCATAAACAAACAAACAAACATTCAGTGAGTCCTGCAACGTCTAGATACACGATCACCGTAAGGAGGCAAAGGTGAGTCAATTTTGGCTTAGCCTGGGCTGGGGACCTACTTATGGATGGAGGGGTATATGATTCCCCCCCCCCCAGCCCTCTACAGTCCATTAGAGGGGAAACAGCTACCGATGGCTGGAAGCGATGGACACAGTATTTTGACAAACCTGGGGGGCACTTGGTTGGAGAAGGCGGCTCGATTCCTTGGAAAGTCCCCGCTCTGCCACCATGTACACAGGACAGGTGCTGGAAACCCCATGTCTTGCTCCAAATCAAGAAGTCCTTTTTCAAAATGCCATTCCTGTTATTTAAGGCTGGATTCCCAATTCGCTTGGGATGTGCAAAGCCAGATTTATTCTGATAGCTATGTTTACGCTGCGTTCACGTGCTATTAGGGGCACTTCTCCAAGTGAAGGTGCCGTTTCCACGCTGCATGCAGGTCTGTCGCTCTTGAAGGGCAAAATCCTGTGTCTGCCGAGCCAGAAAAATGTACTGCAATTCCCAGTCTGCGGAATGGCAGGAATGAGAGCATGTTCTTCTGCCTAAACAGATTTAGGACTGTGCCCATGGCACTTCCCCCTTCAAGACCCCGGTTCAGCACTAAGGAATACCATGCAGAGTAAGCCACCGGGATGCACCATAAATACAAACGAATTCACCAGGCATCTTGAGCAGCCACAGCAGCACTTTCTGGTTCTTTATTCGGTGACTCAACAATAACATTCTCAAAAAAGGTGGGGCTGTTCAGAAAACTAGCCTACAACCATGAAAAAAGCGTTTTCACTCCTGGAAAGCAAAAACACCAATGCCAACACGATCCTTAATGTTTCCTAGCTGAAGCTGTTTCCAGATTTGGTGCTCCCCTAAAATGAAAGGCCACGGGACTCTCTCGGTTCCCCACTTTCTTTCTGCAATCTGGAGCAGCCCCACAGGGCTCAGTGGCCGTGACGGAGCAGCCCGAGACAAAGCCCAGGCGCAGGATGACCTGACAGCTCATCCAAACACCCATGGAGCAGGCGTGAAGGATTCGGAACTAAGCACCGCTTGGAATAAACACAGATCTGAACCTTGCCAGCTCTTCTGCTTTTTCACAGTCCTCTTGGGAGGAAAGGCCTGACTCCAGGCTCAAGGGAGAGGGACACAAACCACGATGGCGAGGCCAACCTCATCACCGACAGATGAAACTTCAGCTTGCTGATGGATGGCGCCCTGCATACCTTCGGGTGCCTCGAACGCGTTTACAGCTCATGTGTTATGGTTCACCGGGGGAAAATAACACAATGTGGTTTAAAGGAAAAACACAGAGGGGTATTTCATGTGGTCGGCGGAAGGTTACAACGAGCTCTTTCTCCTGGCTGCAAATAAGAAATGCACGGAGCTGTCTCCGGTTAGTAAAGCGCATAACGCATCGCATACCTTCCACACACAGGAAAAATGGGCGTCCTGAGCTGCAGGTCGTCGTCCTCTTTTTTTCCCTTTTTTTTTTTGAAACAGAGGATTCGTGCGGCAGCGCTCGCGGCTTCACCTCTGACACAGAGAGAAAGACAGAGAGAAAAACAATTCATCATTATCGGGAAACGCTGCCAGCAGGCTTGCACCACCAAGCGCCACGAGGCCTCACTGAGCACGCGGCTCTGAAAGGGGCCCATTGTTGCGGGCGGCGCACCCGGATCTGTGCTCCCATTTCGGGGACCCACGGAGCCAGTCCTTGCGCCGTCCACGTCAGGCCACGGCAAGGGCAGGCAGGGCCGGGCACCTGCGCCAGGAGCACCACGGGGGTCCCCAAGCTGAGCTGCTCCTGTTTCCGGAAGCACCTGCCCCTCGCCACTCTGCTGCTCAAGCAAGCAGGTGATGGCTCACCTGGGCCCTGCAGGGCACAGGGGTTTGGACCCAGGCCCTTTTTGGCTCCTTCCGGCCCCGACGTTCTCGCCTTCTCTACGTGGTGAGAGAAGAGGAGGAGCCCTGTGAAGTTCAGCTGCTTCAGCCCCTGCGGTAGAAATGGCGGGGTTTTTATTATTTTGGAGCACCTGTTAAGTCAGCAGCCCTGCCTTCTGCCCATTTCTGTATAGCCCAGGACCAAAACATTTAATTTTTGTTAGTGACCAGTTCACAGTTATTTAGCCCAATTGGGAAAGCGTGGCCCCAGGCAGCCAGCCCTCTGGGCCTCTTTCCACAGGGAAAAACAGCATTTCAGTATTTTGCCACAGGTGAGAAATCCCCAGGGGCTGCAGCTCCTACCATCTTCCCCGGCAAGTCAATTAAGATTAGGGGAGAGAAACCCATTTCCACTACTTCCATGATCTGGGTTACAATGTGCACCAACTGAAAAATTTCTTTCTGATTCTTTGGTTGAGCAGTTCACTCTTTGCCTTTGCCGCCTGCAAAATTTAGATAAATCCGAGCCATTCCTTCTACATTTGTTCATACAGCTATAAATTCATATAAGCAGAATCTGAGCAGCTTTGTGTCCTTCGGGTTCCCCCACCCCATTTTTCATCCTGGGTCTTAACCCCAGAAAAACTCACTTTGAGCACTCTTGTTCCAAGAACTGGGCCAACAAGAAGAGCATCAGCCAAGGTCATGCCCAGGCAGAACACGCTCGCTTGAGATCTAGCTGTGGTTCAGAAAGCGGCAGGAAATTATTCTCTCTGGCTGGCCTCAGCCTGGCCTGCCAGAAAAATCTAATTAGCAATTGGATTTCGATTCATAAAAACTGCTCTCCCAGCTGAAGCAGAGGCGACCTCGGACTGCACCCGAGATCACTTGCAAACTCTGCATCTGTTCAGAGATGCAGAGATGCTCAGCAACCGAGTTGGCCGTTCCCTGTTCTGCAGCTGCTTCTTCAAAACGGAGCCTGCACTGGCTGCGTCGGGCTGCCCCGGGGCCAAGATGGTTGGACACCTGCAGCAGGCCCCTGAACTCTTCCCTGTTGCTGTTTGTTTACCTATGTCTTGCTCTCACCCAGGTGACACCCTTTGAGAAGGTACAGAGGAAGTCACTGCCTCTTCTCTCCCTGGATCTCTCCCTCTTAACCCTCACTAAGACAGGTGAAAGCCTCCCTCCCCCCCCAACATCCTTAGCTGAACTCTATCACTAGCAGGTGGCCGGCTGGGTGAAGAACTGGAAAAGCTCGCTTTGGTCCTCCGGATGTATGAACCAATGAAGAACTAATTTCACCTTCCTGCCATCGTTTGAGCACACACGCTCCACCAGTGCGAAACACCCTAGAAGGCAGCATGAAGATCCAGGGCGATCCTGATACACTTTAATACCGGGCTGAAACCGACCAAACATGAGCCGACAATGTGATGCAGCTGCCAAAAGGGCAAATGCTATTTTAGGATGCATTAACAGAAGTATTACTTCCAAATCATGAGAAGGAGTAGTTCCCCTATACTCTTCCCTAGTCGGACCTCACCTGGAATACTGTGTCCAGTACTAAGATTTAAGAAAGACGGAGGTAAATTAGAAAGTGTCCAGTGAAGGGCAACAGAAATGATCCAGGGTTTGGAAACAGTGCCCTATGAGGAGAGACTGGGAGAACTGGGCATGTTCAGCCTTGAGAAGACTAAGAGGGGACATGAGATCCCTCTAGAAGGACCTCAAAGGCTGCCACAAAGAGGAAGGCCAAGATCTCTTCCCGCTGATGCCAGAGTGCAGGACATGGAATAATCCGTTCAAGTTGCAACAACCCAGATCCAGGCTGGACATCAGGAGAAGCTTCCTCACTGCCAGAGCAAGACGACAGGGGGACCAGCTGCCTGGAGAGGTGGGGGGCTCTCCCACACTGGAGGCATCCAAAAAGAAACTGGTCAGCCATCTGCGTGGGAAGGTGTAATGTGGTGTCCTGCAACAGCAGGGGGTTGGACTGGATGGCCTTCACGGCCCCTTCCAACTCTACTATTCCATGATTCTAGAGGACACAGCAAGTTGACCAAGCCCCGATACAGAACCGTGTGTTCTGTGCACTCTTGTCTCCCTGGGAAGGGGGTGTTGGTGGGGAATCTCCAAAGAATCGGGATGGAAATAGGATGGAAAGAAGCGCAGCACAAAGCATTCCATTGTGCTGGTTACAATGGAATAAAATCCGGATCCCAAAGAGCTTGTGTTCTGCCACAATATTTATGGAAATGCAGACATGTACCAGACAAATGGAGTCCAGGAACCGTAAGCTTGGTTTTCTGACTATTTTTTCTGTTCCTGGATTCTCAGTGTTTGTACTCTGTTATAACAACGCCTCTACTGTCAGGACACAAACAGAACTCAATGGACATTCTGGTTTTTGACGCCAGCGGTTTATTTAAAAGAAAAAAAAAGATTTGCTAATCTAAACTGAACTTGGGGCATTCACTCAGTAGCATTAGCTAGAAGGCTGAAAAGCACACGGTTCTGCGTAATTGCATTGCAAATTTTCAAAACCATCCCAGAGTGCAAGATCCAGCTACCAGTTCTAAATCCAGAGCAATTTCTGTAAAAAAATAATAATATTCCCAGCTGGCAAGTTTCCAGACCTCATGAACGCAGGAAGAAGAAGACAAAAGGTAAAGCCTAGTAGATGCACCATTCAAATTTTGGCTAAAGCTAAGATGAGAAATCCAGGCTTTCTTTTGGGCTTGTAACCAGATTGGCAAGCATTCCAAGTAAAGAAATTAAAAGCAAGTTCATTGGGAAGATTCCCTTTGGCCAACATGTCCAAGTAATGTCAAGAGAAGCAGGCATTTAGACTAGAGAGGAATGCAAATGTGGTGCAGTGGTTAGAGCACTGGATCGGGACTCAGAAGATCTGGGTTCCAGTTTCCAGACAGCTGTGAAAATCAGAGTGACTTTGGGCCATCGCTGGTGTCTCTTGGCCTTCCTCACAGGGTTGTTGTGAGGATGCAGTGGTGAAGAAGAGGCCCGTGTAAGACGCTCCGAGTCCCTTGCAGAAGGGGATAAATAAATATAATAATTTGAGACCTTAAGTCTCCAGCGCTCTCTTCTTTGGAAAGACTTTGCCCTGTCTGCAAAGGCTCTGTCTCTGGAAAGAGACAGCTGGAACGTCAAGAGCTGTGTGGATTAGGCCTGGATTGCTCCTGTTCCTGCACCGCCCGGGCAGCGTGAGACCTGGCGGGGGCCCGTCCCAGTGGAGCAGAACAGACGCGGATGGACTGACGGCTGTGACAGGAGGGTCAGGCACTGCCGGCCGGCCGGCCCGCCTGGTGGGGAGCTCTGTCCTCTTGCCCGCAGGGATCCGTGCCACGCGCTGGCCAGCAGCCGACGGGAGAGCTGCACAGCGGGAAAGCCAGCCGCGGCCGGCCCTGCTGCGCAAGCCATCGATCCCACCCCGATCACAGGCCAGCGCACTCGCTGCAGGGCGCTCACTGTGTCCCCTAGCCCCCCGGGAGCGTCTGTGCGGGAGGGGCAGAGGCCTGATGCCGCGCCATCCGTCCAAGCCCCCAATCCAGGCATTATGGGAGTTGCAGTCCATCTGGGCGGGCAGCAGCTTGGGGAACGGCTGGAGCGGGGTACCAGGCCCCCCCTTCCGCCATTCCCCACACTGCTTTTATGGCGCGCCGGCCCCGACGGTTTGAAAACGCAGCAGGGTCCGGAGGGGGCTTCTTGTCCAAACAGCTGGCTCTTGGAAGACGGGCCCACCTCTCAAGGATCAGGCCCCGGCACCCCACAGAAACCACACCCGGTCTGTCTCTGGGCACTGCTGAATTCTCGTGTGCTTCGATGTGGGTTGTGAGCATGGGTGCCCTCTGGGCAGGGAAGGCTCCCCAAAGGAGGACGAAAGGTGTTGTTCCTGGGGAACCTGTGCTGGGGTGGAGAACCAAGGTCCAGGAGCCGGATCAGCCCCCCCGTGCTCCGCAGACGGAACCCTGCCCCTTTCCCCAGCCTTGCTCGGGTGCTTCTGTGTTTCTCTCCATCCACTTATTAACTAGATATCAATCTAAAAAGGGCTTTTTGGGGGCGGGTTGTATCTTTGTCTCCCGCTCCTTGGCTTTTGCCGCCCTCCCCACTAAGACTTCTCCAAAACGGAATTTGGCCTTTGGGATGAAAAGGACTCTAAATCTGCACACCCCGCCAATGCCAACAATAACTCTGGAGCGTCTGTCACCTTCCGGAAGAGGCGAAGCCCCGCAAGAGAGAGAAAGGATGCTGCACGAAACACGCCGAGCGAAGCCGGACGGAACATCAAGCAGATGAGGCCTTGCCTCTGCGAAGGGAGCTGGCCGTCACGGCAGATGCTCGCTCTCGCTGCTGCTCCTGCCCCGACTCACCCCCCCCCCCGTCTCCAGCGGGGGTCCAGCTGCCACGGATTCCGTGTGCAGTTACGACTGCTGGGAAATTGTGTGTGTCTAATGCAGTGTGTGTGTGTGGGTGAGGCAACATGTAAAAAAAGGCACACTAAAAAAGCGTGGACAAACTACACTTCCCCCCCACTTCCACCTTCCCCAAGAAGATGCATTCCAGATGGGCTGGACTCCAAGTCCCATCATGGCCGGCCAGCATG